TTGGCCACCTGGGCACACTGCTGGCTTGTATTCAGCCTGTCCAATCACACCAACAAAATACATAGAGATAAATAATAATAAATATATAGAAATAAATTAACCATTTTTGTGTAATTATTTTTTGCAATACTTCCTGATAGCTTCCCCTAGGACAGTCTCTGATATAACGGCATCCTTAAAGCGACTTCTGCATTTTTATATTCACCACATTACAAAGAAGTTAAAGAACTTCTTTCTTATTTTAGATCAAAGTAGTGGTACTTTTGAATTTGAGAACTTAGATGAGGTTTATTAAGCTTGTTAAAAAGTACAGACTCATCTTATTACAAAGGTCTCCAGACTACAGGAACTCATTGTATTTATTTATTTTTTTAAAGTAAGTTCTCTGCCAGGTGAATTTCCTTATATGTATGTATAGGAAATACATCACATCAGTACACCTAATTCCTAACCATGAGATCAAAATTTTGTTCCTGACTGTCTGTTCAAACAAACAAACAAAACTTACTGATGAGACAAAAATGACATTCCCAAGCTTAGGGGCATCATAAATTCTAGGGATTGAAACAAAACCAAACTTCAGTGACAGTTTCAGAACAGTTTGCCCCAGAAGTTTGAAAAATCGCATAAATGAGTAAGATATTATATGGGTACCTTTGCCAGCACCCACTGAGCCTACAAAAAGGAAAGCTGGGAATGCAGCACAAAGTAACAACACAGGTGATGAGATGTGATGGTGCTCAGATCACATATTCTGCTCTTGGTGAAGATGGGACTGAAGGAAGCTCCCTGTCCCCCATACAACAAGCTCCAGCAATTTGGCAAATCTAGCAGCTTTCAAGTCTTTTTTTTTTTTTTAAACAGATAAAAATATTTTTGGTATTTTCATGTAAAACCTGTAAAATGAAAGCTGTTTATTTCTTCAGAAAAAAAAAATAAAAATTAAACCCCCCCAAACCTCTTTGGGAATTGTATGTGATTTGACATTCATCTTACATTGCTTTTCTGTGAGCCTACAAGAAACCACTCACTATTTCTGTGCATCTGTTTTCTGGACGCTCTTTTATCTGAAACAAGGCTGAAGTTCCCTAGAGGAATCGGGCACGAACACAAGACTGAGCTGGGGGAAAAAGTTTTAGGGTTTTAATTTAGATGGGAAACAGGATGCTACTTTTACAGAAGTGCTGCTAACCACCAAGATGCTCTCATTTACAACATACTGTTACTGTACTGCCAGTAGCTTTGAAAGCAGATTTAAAGCTAGGTCAGCTCTGGAAAGCCAAAAGGTTACAGTGGAAGGAACCAGCAGACCTTGCTTCAGAAAGAATCTGTTAAAGATTTCAGATACACAGGGATTTCCTTCTGACTTATGTGCTGCTGCTGTTAGTAACCCCCATACTTACTTAAAAAAGAGCACATTAAATCCAAGCATCTTTCTTTGAGCAACACTGATAACAACTGATAATCTAAGGACCTGTAGTGGTTTTAATAGGAATTTAAACATTAATACTTATTATTAGTAGTAATAGTAATATTTATTTAAACATTTCTAAGTAATAATTTGAGTTCATTTGAAAGTGGCATGGTGCTATTTTAATATCATCAGAATGGCTAAAAATATTATGTAAGCCCTATGTTTTCTAAAAAAACCCACCAGTGTACATTTAAGAAAGCAAATAGAGGCTGCCATCCTAGCCAAGAGGAGAAAAAAAAATGAAGCAGTGCCTTTTTATGCTATTTTCTTCAACATTCGTAGGTGACAGGACTCCTGTCTTGCTCATTTCCCATTATTCTATGGTGGTAGACAGATTTGTAAGTTAATTAATAAAGTTAAGGAACACTGTCAGCTGGAAGTGAGTCAATTAAAAGCCACAATTTCAAATTAAACTTGGACATTCCTCTTAATCATACATCTTTCTATTAATCTTGCGGTTTTAGAAGACGACTCTCTTTCACGCTTAGAGAAGCCCCTCTCATCCCTTTTACCGAAAGAGCTGCTGGAAAGGAGCGCTCTGCGTCATGACAAAACACACGCGCTCTCCAATAACCGCAGCAGGAGACCTTTCAGTTATTTTGAGGGTACTCCTCAAAACTCCTCAGAGCACCCAGACTTCCAGGGTGCTGGGTGAATTAGACATAACCTCCACACGTGTTTCGAAATGGGATGACCGCAGATGGCGCTATGTCATCATGCAAGACCACACCAGGACGAGGAGTTGCCCGGTTCCTCTCCCCGGCCAACCCAGGGGCACCACCACAACCGCCACTTTGGGGGTTCGCAAGCTTGGCGTATATGCGCACGGAAGGCGGACTCACTGCTCTGTGAAATCCTCATTGCTGGTTTCTGGGTGGCCACAGCCGCGCCGGGGCTGTTGTCACTGGTGAGCTGCATGAGGTCATTGATGATGGCTTGCTTGTCGACCGAGCCCGCTGGCGCGCCTGGGCGGCTATCTGGGAAAAGCTGCGGTAACTGGCTGTTCTGCAGGTCATCCAGAATCTCCTCCAAGTTATCCAACTCACTGCCTGGCTGCAATAAAAAAAACAAAACACAAACCCACAGTACACGTCGCTGCTCGCCTGCTGTTGGCATCCTGCTCGCGCCGAGCCCGGCAGCCCGCAACCGTCACGCCCGCACCGGCTTCGGATGCTTCCTGCGAGAAGCCCGATGCGGAGGAAGCTCACAAAGTTGTTCAAAGAGGACTGTGCAAGCTTCCCAGGGCTCGTCTGCCTTGCCTTTGGGGAGCCTGGGGTGGCAGTGGGACCCCTTCAAAACCCTGGCATCGGGATGTACGAATCCATACCATCTGTACCTCAGGCAAAGGCGAAATTCTCCCCGTGCACTCTGCGATCGGTGCAGATAGCAGGGATAATTTGGCAGGGGAAGAGATCCAACGGCGATGAAGATGGGGGTTGATGGAGGTATAACCAATATTCCTTTCAGCACAGTCATATTTCTAGTCTCTTTATGACTTGATTAAAAGCATATGACGGAAAAGTTGCTTCACGGCTAAAACAATTTCCCATACGGATTTTCTTTGTTACATTCAAAACCTTAACACCGAGTAACTCTATATAAGTTAACTGGCAAGAAATATACATTTCAATGAAGTTCTATAAATTAAAAACTGTCATCTAGTTACTAGATTCAGAAAATTATTTTGCTCACAACTTTCCAAATCACTGAAAATAACTTTTCTACAGTAAGAAAAAAAAAAAAAAAAGAGAAATCTAGTTACATTCAATTCAGTAGAAACTTATAATGAAATAAAGACGGGAAAAAATTAAGTTCACCCTATAGTAACATAAATACTGACCTCCATGTTTTTCTTAAAAATGTTGATTCTCACTTGTTTTTGTTTTGTCAGCTTCTCTGTCTATAAACCCTCAGAATTAAATCTTTTTCTGACTGAAATTTGGAAATTATTAAAAGTATATTCTCCAATCCTGAACATTCAAAGAGGGTAAAACACTTTTGGGTAATAATTACCAACAGGGAGTCCAAGTTGCACAGGAAACATTTCATGGCAGTATTTATAACAAAAACCGACTCAAATTCAGCGCCTTCATTAGGAAATGTGCAATGACAGAGGAGAGGCAGAGAGTGAGCAGCCAGCCGTGAAGGATGGGGAACCAAGAAATAACACCACAAACATGCACACAACTGAAATACAATTCTTCCTGGGTTTGTTGGTTTTGGTTTTTTTTTTTTTTTTGTCCTACCACGACATCATGAACTTGTTACTTACTGAGAGCAAGCTTACGCCGCAGATCACAGGATAACGCAGAAATAACTGAGATGGCTTTACGCTACCTACTGAGGCTCTCACAGCCCAGCTAGGAAACATTGCACATTAGCCTGGACTAAACTCCTGCTGCCACAGCTAACCCGCTCCTGGGAAACCCAGCTATTTTATTCAAAGGTAGCTAAGATGCTATGAAGTTACGTCTTTACGTACCTTTTTCGAATGACCGACTGCAGATAAACACGATATTACTCTTTATCCCTTCCACACCACCTCTTAGTCTTACAGATTAGAATACATGGTGCAAAAGAGGAAGGTGTTTACTCCGTTAAAAGGCAGCATGTGGGTGATCTGGAGGCTGGTGTTATTGGCAAAATGGTAGGAAATCACAGAATCACAGGACTGGAAGAAATTTAAAGCCTCAAGGCAAAATCAGTGTATGTTTACAGAAGTTCATATAGCTTCTTGTTAAAGACATCCAGTGACAGAAAACCCACAGCTTCCCAGAGGAATTGGTTTCAGCACTCTGCCATCCTCACTAGTCAAGTTTTTTTGCCTCAGAGGCACTGCAAAATCTGCCGCACTGAAATTTAGGCCCTTCCTTCCTGTCACGTTTTGAATCCAGGGAACAAACACTGCTCCCCTCTTTTTCTAACCTTTTCTGCCTTTGAGAACACGGGCCTTTTTAAGTTTTAAACTGAAGTTAATAAGCAATCTCAACTTGCTGAATTTTCTTCAGCATATAACCTGTTTTCTAGACCTCTCATTACTCTTGTTGCTCCTGAGGACTGTCTTTAATTGATCTGCACTTTTGCTGAAGTGCCATGTCCAGAACAGGACTTAAGATGAAGCCTTACAACTGCTGAATAAAGCAGAAAATTCACTCTACACATAGTACACTCTGATGGCACATTCCAGAAAAGCCTGCGATTTTTTTAATTACGTGACATTACTGACTTTTACTCATTTCGTGCTCACTATGATCCCTATACACAGCTCTGAAAAAGTCTTATCTAGCCAGTTGTCCTCTACTTTTTTTAAAAGAAAATAAAATCTGTGACATTATTCTTGACTAATTATAATAAATAGCATTTGTTCATCCTGAATGTTCTCCTAAGATTTTTCCTCCACATCTCCCGGTTGTAGCTGAATTTGAATTCTGTCCCCCAGTGTATTTGCAGACATTCAAGTATCACACGCAGCTTTACCAAGCATACGCTCTATTCTCCCATCAGGTCATTTAGGTTACCTAAAAGACTGAGCAGCTCTAGATGCCGCACAAGCTCCTGCAGCACCTTCATTTTGACAGCAAATCCTTCAATAACTACTTTGTGTGTAAGGATTTCCAAACAGCTTCCTATCTACTCACAGCAGTTTCATCTTGACCATGCATCACTCATCTGCGTACGAGAATGCCATGTGTATGAGGGTCAAAAAGCCTTACTCAAACCAAGACACACGGCATACGCTGCTTCTCTTACGCCAAAAAGCCCCCGCTACCCTCTTGCGGAAGGAAAACAGGTTGGTCCGACATTACCTGCTCTTGACAAATTTCCCTTCCAGGCCCTTATAAGCAGTTGGGTGGACACAGCACCCCAAGAGAAAAGGTAGAGCCAAGAGGAATCAAATGGGATGATACGAACCCTAAATCATTGTGCAGACAGGTGATAAGCAGATTCAAAAAGGTGCTCCGAGAGACAGTCGCGAGCGGTGTTTATAGAAGCCGCATTTTGAGCGCTGGAAGATCTGGTAGAAGGAGATGCAAGAGCCAGTAGAGGAGACTGATGTAGAGTATGATAAATTATAGGAGGATGATTCAGTACTCTTTGGGAGAATTAAGACATATGGCCTTCATTAAAAGTATTTGAGACAACAGCAAAGGGAAATTTTACATGTTGCAGGGTTTTTTTTTTTGTTTGGTTTTGTGCAGGACTTTGTGTCTTTTTTTCTCCCCCCCCCCCCCCCTTTTTTTTAACATTCTGGCTACTGCAATTCTTCGTTTAAACACTGGATGTAAAAGAAACAAAAAACTAAACCCAAAATAAAGCCAGAGAAGAACATATTGATCCAAATGTGTCAGAAAACTGCACTCCCTCAGATGCTTTTAATTCCTCTCAGGAAGTGGCAAAGAAAGGCCAAATACAACAGCTGTATTATAACACCAGAAATATATAACCTTCCCTTTCTTTGCTAAACATAATCAATATCAAATATTTCATCTTTGTTTTTTGACGAGGGTTCTCAACTGCTGCAAAAGCTCCAAGATAGATTTAGAATTGACACCAAGCTATGATGTTAGCCTAAGTCTTTCCAGACTCACCCTCAAATGGTACCAACATGCATAGAAACTAGCATTAAAATATTTACTTGGTTAGCTTCATGGGATTTTTCTTTTATTTATATTCTATATTTATTTTGTTAATGGTCTAAATTGAACCTTATGTAAATAGAAGGCACGCCCTAACTTCCCCATAAAACAATTATTTGTCACAAATTAAAAAAAAAAAAAGCCTGATTAAGTGCTAAGCATCACAAGAAAGTCCTCATGCACATTTTTTCACTATCTCTAAGCAATGCAATTACAACAATCTCCCTAGAACTTGGACACTAAGTGCCAGAGAACATAAAACAGATTATGCTTAGAAATATTTTTGCATTTGAAAAAGGACCTCCTTACAAAGTACTTATCACTGTCATGTAGAGAAAGGCAGATTAAAGTGTTAATTGCTTTAAGAATTTTTTCGGCTCTACTGAAAGGCAGTTACACCTCAACACGAAGTTTGGTTTACAAAAGTTGCTATGTCAAAGTCTAGCTTCCATGGATTGTAAAGGACTGGATAGATACTAAACCTTCCGGAGGTCTCTTTTCCACCACGGGCAATGCTCATGGCTTGCACCGCGACCCTGCTTTCCAGACTTCATACATGTGTACATTTCCTTTACGACCACGTATGACAGAGGCATCTGGGATTTTTTTCCTTCCGACGGGATGTCTTTTGGTGGGGACACAACTTGAAACTATACCTGCCTTATATAAACTCTAAATTAGCTCATTAGCTACTACTGTAGCATCGGCAAAGCATCTGACAATAAAAGGTACACAAAACCAAATCCCTGTTCCGCGCTGGTGATAATTAAAGGATTATAAAAAGAAGAAAGAAGTAAATCAAAAGTGGAATCAATATAGTCGTCTTCTCCCTGGTAACTGCAATAAACATACAATTGGATAGAAATCCTGTTATATTACCAGGCTAACCTGCTGCTCGCTTTTGGAAACAGAATTCTAACTGAAAGACATTCAGAAAAATGGAATCTTCATTCTAAGGTTTTGATAGAATTTCAAGAAGAAACCAATGTCCTTCATGAATTTAATGGATTCCAGACATCAAGAAATAGATTTTTGGAAGATGAATGGCACGTGTAAAGAAACTATGTTAATACTGGGAAGATACCAGTTTCCACATAAAGCAAGAGGACAGCAGAGTTGCTAAAGAGTCTGAGGAACACCAGAACAGTTTCTGACTTTTTGGACAAAAAGGAACACGCTTAAGATGATTTCTGGAACACCACTGGTGGAGACTGCGGCGTTGCAAAGTCCCTGTCAGACAAACAGGCTGTCTATATTGCCTACTGGCTAAAAAAGAGGACAGTACACTTATGGAGAGAAGGATTTTATTCCACACTACGCCAAGTGCTTTCTCAGAGAATAAGCTACTTCAAATTTCCACATCTTGCTTTCTTCATTTGTATTACGAATATAATAATCACATCCAATTTTACAGAAGAGTTTCGCAGTGCAAAACAATACAGCTAAACAAAACGTTTTGTTGGCAAGGCAATACCCGACATCGTTCAGCACATGACGTTTCTCTGCCGTCCACCCTACGCTTCCACTCTCCTTCCCCCCAGCCGTCAGCTGGTCCTCATCAGACTTGCCCATCTACGGACCACCACACAAGCTGCTCCCGACCAGCAGCAGCGTGGGCTGGCTGAAGCCAGAAGCACAACGAGGGGTTTTATCGAGGGGCAGCACCAGCAGCGATGCGCAGGGAAGGAAGGTGAGGGATGAAGTTCTACCACGCAGCCCCGCGGTGGGCCGGTGGGGAGAGTGGGAGAAGGCAGGCTCCCTGCTGAGGGACACCCTACATAAACCAGAGCCGTAGCAAATCAGGACTTGTGTTTCCACTGCCTTCCCTTTTTAATAGGGGAGAACGCTACGAGCACTCGTGGTGCTTGAGAGCAACAGTCCTACTACTGTTGGTGCTGTAGGAAAAGCTCCGCTGAGCCTCCCCAGCAGGTCTCTCTTTCATCCTCTCCCCCACAGCTCCCTTAACTGGAATCGCAATCAGCCTAACAGACCTCGATAACCATCATCCCACCAAGGAAGGGAAAAAGGTATGGCGGCGCTGGAAAGATTCTCTGCCATTTGAGAAAGGCTTCCTGTCAGTTGCCGCTCTCTGCAGAAGTGTATGTTTAAACACACTACCTAGAAGACTGCTATTTTTAGTCCAGTGGTGTACTTCAAAGCATTTCCTGCTCAGAAAGTCACACCAAAAGTAAAAGGAGAAAACATAATGGTCCTGCTGCCTCCCAACCCCCTGATCCCGCTTGCAGAGGCCATCCCACTGCCGCTCCACTGCAGTTTCCAGAGAAACTGCACACTCCGGCGACTAATTACTTAAAAAGACAACATTCCTCGGGGAGGAGAAGTTTTAAATAAACCTGCAAAATAGGTAACACAAGCACATGGCTAATTTTTACATACGGGAGGAAGAAGGGGGGGAGGGGGAGGATGCAGGAGGATGGAAGAATTTAGCACGAGAATCTGAGTTCTAGTCTTGTACTAAATAGTTCCAGCTTTGATCTAAATTTAGGCAATGAGCACTTCCTGTGGGAGACCATCTTCCAAAGCTGACGAGTTTTTGATGCTAAACATTTTCAGTGATTTTATAATTAGGGTAAAGTGGTTATTTGTTTAAAGGCCTGGCCTTCAGCTAGATAAACGCTTACATTATTTTATATTCCCCACCATTTCCTCTCCTACTTCACGTTGGACTTCTCCTGTTTATTCAGCTCCAGGTTTCACTGCATTTTAAGTAGGATTCAAAACTCTATTTACAACCAACAGGAGCAACAAAAGTCCTTCTGTCATTATCCAGCAGCCTTCTATCACAGCTGCGGGACTGCCTGCTCCTCACCCCGGTGCTGAGGAAGCCCAAGCACTTCAGTCTTGACCATTTTATCACGACTCTTGCACTGCTGCGTGGTTTTCTGAACAGCCCCAACTCCTGGACCTTCCTGTACCTCCGGGTTCCCTCTCTCCTGGGAGACTGGAGATTTGAAGATCTCCATCTCTGAATTTTAAGAAAAGGCAATACATCCATAGTTCATACTCCAACCCCCTCAAATCCCTCCCCTAAGCTCAGAAACACGAAGCCTAAAAATAAAAAAATGAATAGGCTATTCACTTTACAAAGTTCATCATACCGGGGACCTGATTTTCAAATGCCTGAGGTTGGCAATGCTTATAGACACTGAAGTCTCTTTCTTTAAAGGGTGAGACGCAACTTGCCTATCTTTAGTCATGAAAAAGCAAGGCAGCTAGGTTAAACTAGCCGTCTAGGCTATCACTAGTCAATGGGAACACCACTAGACAGCAGCTTATCTTCATTATTTTAGACACACAGTAGGATAAGATACAAAAAAATCCTGGAGTAATTTTCTATTTTTCCATCAACGATAAAAGGAGCTCGTAGGACTACCTTGGACTAGACAGCTAACTTCTAGAGAGGACAAAACCTGCTCTTTGCAAATGGGTTCACAAGCTAAGCCGTTTGTCTACTCCACCGAGATCATGAAAGAGGAAATTTTAATTCTTTTAGAAATTTAATTCTTGGGGAATAAACCGTCTGAAGGCCATGATTTTGATCTCCTTAGACAGTCATAATTTTTTGGGTCATTACCAAATTCTACATTCTTGTCCAGTGTCAAATACTGAGGACTGAAGGATCTCTGCCTTCAATCCAGCATTGACTTCAATGTGTAGGATCTGAACTAGGAACTGCAATCTATCAGATATTTTAAAAATAGTTTATTCTTGTCAGTTTAGCCATGAATTTCTTGATATCTGTGTTTTTCTAGCATTAAGTTCTCACAGAGAATCGAAGCCCTCCCTCTACAGGCACTACAAAATAGCAACTATATTCAGAACTAAACTAACATCCAGGCTTGAGGATAAATCCCTGTAGAAATCAGTGTAATTTGGCTCAGTTTCCCTCCAAAACACAGGAAGGATTGAAAAACCACAATTGCTCCTACATAATGGCAATAGCTGCCAAATTCTGTTGAAACAGAAGAAGTGAAGTAACCTTAGGAGATGCCTGGATAACTGAGATTTTAACAACGCTGCGTCCACACTGTAGTGGCATGTTTGGCCCCTACGTTTTGTGGTTATAATGACTTGAAAGAACTGTCTCCTGGTTAGAGACTGCCGGAAGGGCAAAGTAAAAAAAAAAATAAAAATCTAATGCTGTGACTTAGGGCTAAGAAAATGTTGTCTATCCCTCCTCAGCCTCAAAAATACAATATAGAAAAGATAAAAACATGATGTATTTATACACACACAATAATAAAAATACAACATATTCACAAAAATGAACAAGCTCAAACCCAGTACACACATTAAAAATACACACTATTTTGAAAGGGAAGGATATGGCTGTGAATGAGAGAGTCATAAAGGTTTGCACAGTGTGTGATCCGATCATGATTTACAAACTAAAGGCTTCATGCACAGGGCACTGCCTAGGGATTAACGACCACCTGAGAGAGCTGATAGTGTAGGACAAAGCTAAGGATCATTAACTCCAGCTAGTTATAAACTTCCCCAGAAAATGCCTTATACTAAAATTGATATTGTAATTACCCATTTTATAAATAAAATAAACAGTAATATTGAAGTAGCAAATTGCTTTTGCTGCATCCTTATTCCCTGCAAAGCTCTGAAAACTGGAGCATTCTGGGTGATGGGAACCTGGTGTTTTTTGAAAGTGAGTTCTGCATGAAAGCCAGCGAAGTACCGCTTTTTAGCACAGGTCCTAACAACATACAGTTTATTCGTATGTCGGGCAGCAGAGCAACAAGTAGTCTTGCCTAGAACGCAGATGAATTCTGAATGCAAAATTCAAGGCAGATAACCTTGCACAGGGAGACATGGTCTCTGCACTGAACAATTAACCATCCACAGGAACTTGGGGTTGAATATAAAAAAATTTTTAAGCAAAAAACCCCCCCCAAATAACAACCCTCCCCAACTGGCACAGAAACAAGGGAAGTCTCTTTGCCTTGATTATAATTTGCAGATCAAGTATAGCACAAAGATCAGTAACGCAAAGTTGATATCACTCCTTTCAAATAACTCCTGTCCTTGAGCATGAACCTGTTTCCCAGGGCAGAAGTCTAGTTGCTCTGCTGGGCTAGGTCAAGAGCTCATCAAGCCCACAGCAGTTCAACCACAGCCTATGGGAAAAGCTGTCAATAAGTTAGCATTAATCAACAGTTACAAGTATTTTCTCTTCCTCTGACTACCATCTGGGAAAGGTTCCCCAGAGTTCAGTCCCTGCGTTATCCATGTCCTCCCAGGCAGAGTCTGTTCTTTTAGACAGAGTAATGATCACAGCTTAGTAACGCCAACTGGAAAATTGAGCGAAGACTGGATTTCAAAAGACAGGTAACAGCCTCTTGGAAGTGGCAAGACATTACTCTTAGAGGAAATCAGATGGCAGGAACGCAGGCCCAGAACATCTCATTCACACATAATGAAAAGATTTGCTTACCTGTTCGTTAGGCTCAAAGCTTATCTCTTCTTTTTCTGTCCTCATAGCTATTAACTTTGTGCTACCGGAAGGGTCTGTCTTACTGTCCAACCGCTCCAGTTTTGGGGGTATGTCTGGTAAACCAATATCTTTAGTATCATCTTTATCTAGCAAGTAGCGAAGTAGTGCATTATTATTCTTCTTAGGACTCGCTGGCTCCTGTTTAACAGTCACCTCTGAACCAGGAGCTGTGCTACTGGACTCCTGGTTCAGTTCTTTGCCTGTGGCCTCTGCTGTGAGCTTGGCCAAATCTACAGGAGAACTACTGTCCTGCAATAGTCTGTGCAAAATTTTATGCTTCTCCTTGAGCGAGGTTCCGTGTGCCGAACCAGACCCAGGCAACCCTCCCGTGGAGTCCTTGCTAACGTCTCCCATGGTACTGGACAAAGGGGAAGGCTCCATCTGATCTGATTTGGTGGTCAGCAATTGTAAGAGCTTTGTCTGGCTTTTTCCGTCGTGCAGTTTATTCTGTCCATCAGGTCTCTCGCCACTGACAACTGGTGGCATGTTGCTATCGCTATTATCTTTCTGTTCTCCTGAATGGCAGCTGCTCTCTGCTTGTCCAGTTGTACCTTCTGATTGCTCCCCGTAGAGTCCAAAGCAGTCTTTAGAGTCCAGGCTTCCCATCTTGCTTAGCTGGGGAGGATTCATATTCACAGGGGAATTCTGTAGATTTCCCATTTTTAGGTCAGGTGAAGCCAACGACGATCCTAGAGAAACGCCGTGGCCCTCGCTGAGGGCCTGAAGTGCGTTCAGGGAACTGTTGGTGTAGTTATGGCTATTTCCTGTGCTGCTGCAGACTCCCACGGGCGAATGTAAGCTTCCCGCAGGGGAGAACTGACTGGGTGGGATGCGAGGGCTGCCTGCCACTCCAGGGCTCACACGATGCCTTGGGGAAAGCATAGAGTTTGGCTGCCCTGGGTTCATGCCGGGGCTGCTTTGTGAGGGGCTATTCATTTTTAGTGCATAGTTACTACCCTGAGGAGTGGACGCTTGTATGCTTGACACATGGTTCATTCCCCCTGAACCACCAAACCTGCCTGCTGGCATGCCCATTTGTTCCTTTGGGCCGTTTATGGCAAAATTTATATTGCTACTGATGGTCATATCCTGACCTGGGTTCCCACTGCACATGGCCTGATGGGCAGGGCTGCTGGAGCTAATTGGGTTCAATATCTTCCCCATTCCTTGTCCAGTCAAATCCTGATTCATTCCACAGACATTCTGCTCTCTATGTGGCAAGGGGAAGAAAAACAACCCATTAGCTAAAATGGCAGTGGCCAACTTGTAATTACATTACAGAAAAAGAAGCAAAACCCCAAACCTCGCTTTAAAATAACACAACGAACCTCCAATTAAAAACAAATCGACAATTTGACAAAAGTGATATGCAACTCTCAACATGGTTGCACATTAACAGTATGGTTTTTCAGTACCTCATTAACAAATCAGTGGAAGAGAGGAAAAACAAAATTATATCTCATTTAACCGACAGTCATTAGGAATGCAGACAGGTTACAATTTCAGCCTCTCTAATGTATATCTCTTCTCTACAATTTGGCAAGAGCTAACTTCTAGAACTGACAGAAATCTCATCTGAAACATATGACCCAAACAAATACATGTTCTACAAGACAGCTGCGGACAGCTGTTTGCTGGAGTTCTGAATTTCTATGAGTTAGTCCCACCGCAAGGTTGGAGTGGGCTACTTGCCCACCAAGTTCCTAGTGAAAAGAAAGTTGAAAAAGTCACATTTCTACACTGCCAGAGTATTTCGATACCGCTCCAACACAGCATGTGAGCCAAGAGAACTACTGGATACTGCTTCAGAATGGGAACAGTCTGTTAGCAATCCCGTCCTGCACAGGCATTTAGGAAAAAAGGAGAAGAAAGAAAAAAAAAAAATCACACATATAGGAGCTGAAATTCATATTTTAGAGATGTAGGCTGTAAGATGGAGGAAACAGAAGAGGGACAGACACACACATACAGAGAAAAAGCTCTTGTGAGAGCACCTGAAGATCACTCCTCTTTTCCTCGGTAGATTTTAATTAGTTTATGGGAGGATGCGATATACTTTCTGCTTCTGTCCTAAAACTTAAATCAAAAAAATCAGACATATTCCCAAATGCTAAAAGCTATAAAAGAGACAGAGTCAAGTTGATTAGGAAGAAAACAAAATGAGGTTCTGAGAAAAATCAAATCAACTCTGGACTTCCAATGCCAAATACTAATGGAACATTCCTAATACATACTCTCGATGAGACAAAAACCATTCCTACTTGCACAGGATAAGTGCAGATAAACCATCGCATTTTGCTAAAGCATGACAAGTGAAAGAACTGAAGCGCACAGAGTAGTGAAGTTTGTTACTCTGTATTTGTTCCCTTAGGTATAAAGGCAAAGGTGAACAACGTTAACTACAAAGAAAGAGGTGGATTTTTAAAACCTTATTACAAATACAATGGTACCAGTATTCTGCTAAGAAAATCAAGGACATTTGCAAGTACCATTTTTAACTTGGTGCTTTTTTAAAATTTAAAGTTTAGCACTTCATGAAAGACCAAGTATATTCAACAATCCAAAGAAAATAAATTTCAGACAGCTTTTGGTCAGGTCAATTTCCAAATCTACAACCTCTGTAAAACAGGTTCAGTTTTAATTACGTTTAGAGCTGTTTTCTTCCTCTCAAAAAAGTGATACTGTGGACACAGGGAAACAGCATTGTAATTATAATCAGCAAAAAAAACCTGAAACAAAATCTGACACAAATATACCAACACATGCAATGCCTTAATTCAAATTTTATGTTGAAGTTCTGAGGTCAATGATTACTTATCCTTGACTATAACATATTATTGCCTGTACCTTTTTGAAAAAAAACCAATAGTGTTGGCATTTCTCAGGACTGGACATGTGAAAGCCACTACTCCAAGCACCAGAAAAGACAAGGAATGAAGAGAGGCAAGGAGTTAAAATATGCAGTTTGTCCAAAATGCAGTTCTAATAATCATAATGTATTTTTTAAAGAAGACCCAGGCCCAACATATGACTGACTGTGAACTACAGGAATGTAATCCTTCAAAGTTTTCTAGATTTAATTACATTTGGAGAGCTTCTTGTGTCTACTCTGCAAAACACAGGAAATTAAAATACTGAAATTAAGAACATGAGTTTAAAGGAAATTTTGCATGTTTAATGGAAGATCTTGATGTGAAAAACCAGCATGCCATTTGTAAGTCCTGAAATAATCTTACAGTCCTTTCCTGCTGTAAGCATTCATGTCAAAAACTTACTTTGTTTTCATGCTATCAGTTCTAGGGCAACTGAACATCTATCAGCCTTAAACAATCTATTTGCTTTGGCAACTTTGTACTTTCCCTCTCTCTCTCTCATAACAAACTGTTCAGGATTACCTGTGAAGCATATGCAAGGAGATTACAAGCTGAGGTTCACTAGTTGTCTGAGAACGGATGAGCTTGCTCTTCGTTTGGGCAGAAACGATAGTGCCGTCAGACAAGGAAAACCGATAAACGGGACTAAATGCTAGTCCCTGCCTCAGCACTGCAAGCAAGCAAAGTAACAGAATTAAATTAATGAGACATTATAGTACAGGTAGCATAGCTGCTCAACATCTGATGTTCTAAATCCATCAGCACTGATACCACAGACACCACGTTAATTAAACAAAAAACAAAACCAAAAAAAAACCGGAAGAAAAATTTTGAAAATGAATAGATGGGACGTCTATAAAATACAGGATCCCACATACTGCAGGGTGATCAAAAGAAAACCTATAAGCAATAACAAGACAGATACTATGAATACAGAGTATTTCAGGAATGGACCAAGAAGTCTTGAATGTCCATTTCACTTTTCATCAAATATGTGTTTAACTCCCTTGGCTCCTCATACGTTTTTTCATCTGTATTATCTACATCACGATGATTAATATAAATGACTTTGGTTTCTAGATCATCTGTTTCCATTAGCCTGTATCTTTTCCTCCTTACTGCCTGCTTAAATGATCTTGTAACAGTTACTCTCACTACTTCTCTAATTTAAAAAGTACATAAATCTCTTACATGGGAACAATTTGAAATAAGAAGAGCTGGAACAAGAAATTACTATTTTTTAAAGAACAAATACAAAAATATACAGCTCAAACAAATTACAAATACCATTCTCTAAACCAAAATTGGGGCTGTGCTGTCCTTCCCCAGTGTTAGATATGACTGCATTTCAGGTTTGGGTTTTACTTCACTGCACATATTCTGCAGCCCTTCAGTGTAAATCTGAACTTCAATAAATTCAGTTCTCAAATTTCACAGGGGTCTACAGAAGTTACTTTAATTAAAAATAAAAATCATGTTATAGAAAAGAAAATCTCCAAACATTTTTTCTACTGTTCACTGTCTACCATCAATTAAACAAGTCTGATCATTTTCAATTCCTAGTCCAAAAGCTATTACATTAGGATTGCAGATATGGCAGGAGGAAAATACTTAACTTCAGAATTTTCATATAATTGTTTAGGGAAAAAAATAGGAATGAAGCACTAGAAATACTTTTAATTTCCTATTTTTCATACATCCACATTTTCTGTGTTTTGGTCTTTTTTTTTTTTGTAATTAATAGTATCATCTGATCTTCATTACATTACTTGTCTTTTAATATTTCCTGTTGTAATGAAATGACACGGTTTTCCGAGTGTGGCTTTATTAAATAGTCTCCTCTACAGAGCTACCAGATTTTCAGCCTTGCAGGACTGGTTATGATTGCTTTCCTTCCCCGTCCCCCCCACTGTTATATATTGTTCTGCAAGGTTTTAAAGTATTATTTAGGCAGTGAGAAAACAGGAAGCAAAATTTAAACAACCAGAAGGGGTTTTTCAGAGTAAAAATGTAAAGAAAAACAAAAACCTACAACTGTGAAACAATACAAAGCAAAGTTTCACTGTTGGGTATGTCATTGTTTCAGTTTAACCTTTGGGCACCAGAAGGTCCAAAGCTCTTAACTTTAGCATATACCACATCAGGAAATTCCAGAACTCAATGCCAACAGGATGCAAGTGAAATCTCTACTTAAATCATTTTCCAAACTAATTCTTTAAGCAAACAAGAATGTTTCCGTATTCCTCTTGAGGAAATGCTATTTTTCTGACTGCGGCCAATAAAAACTTACCATATATTTTGCGCTTTATCCTGAGAGTTCATTTGAAAGCTTTGTGGCTTTTATTGTTTATCAAGCTAATGCTGAATTTTTTTTTTCCCC